CACTGTGTTCATGGTATCCAGTATTTATGGACACTATGCCATCAATGTGTTCATGGTGTTTAGTATGTATGGACACCATGTCATCACTGTTCATGGTGTTTTGTATTTATGGAAACCATGCCATCGCTGTGTTCAGTATTTATAGACACCATGCCATCACTGTATTCATGGTATCCAGTATTTATGGACACCATGCCATCACTGTATTCATGGTGTTCAGTATTTATGGACACCATGCCATCAATGTGTTCATGGTGTTCAGTATTTATGGACACCATGCCATCAATGTGTTCATGGTGTTCAGTATTTATGGACACCATGTCATCACTGTGTTCATGGTGTTTAGTATTTATGGACACCATGTCATCACTGTGTTCATGGTGTTTAGTCTTTATGGACACCATGTCATCACTGTGTTCATGGTGTTTAGTCTTTATGGACACCATGTCATCACTGTGTTCATGGTGTTTAGTCTTTATGGACACAATGTCATCACTGTGTTCATGGTGTTTAGTATTTATGGACACCATGTCATCACTGTGTTCATGGTATCCAGTATTTATGGACACCATGTCATCACTGTGTTCATGGTGTTTAGTCTTTATGGACACCATGTCATCACTGTGTTCATGGTGTTTAGTCTTTATGGACACCATGTCATCACTGTGTTCATGGTGTTTAGTCTTTATGGACACAATGTCATCACTGTGTTCATGGTGTTCAGTATTTATGGACACCATGTCATCACTGTGTTCATGGTGTTCAGTATTTATGGACACCATGCGATCAATGTGTTCATTGTTTTCAGTATTTATGGAAACCATGCGATCAATGTGTTCATTGTTTTCAGTATTTATGGAAACCATGCCATCGCTGTGTTCAGTATTTATGGACACCATGTCATCACTCTGTTCATGGTGTTCAGTATTTATGGACACCATGTCATCAATGTGTTCTTAGTATTCAGTATTTATAGACACCATGCCATCATAGTGTTCATAGTATCCAGTATTTATGGACATCATGCCATCACTGTATTCATGGTGTTCAGTATTTATGGACACCATGCCATCACTGTGTTTATAGTGTTCAGTATTTATGGACACCATGTCATCACTGTGTTCATGGTGTTCAGTATTTATGGACATCATGCCATCACTGTATTCATGGTGTTTAGTATTTATGGACACCATGTCATCACTGTGTTCATGGTGTTTAGTATTTATGGATACCATGCCATCACTGTGTTCATGGTATCCAGTATTTATGGACACCATGCCATCAATGTGTTCATGGTGTTCAGTATTTATGGACAACATGCCATCAATGTGTTCATGGTGTTCAGTATTTATGGACAACATGCCATCAATGTGTTCATGGTGTTCAGTATTTATGGACAACATGCCATCAATGTGTTCATGGTGTTCAGTATTTATGGACACCATGTCATGACTGTGTTCATGGTGTTCAGTATTTATGGACACCATGTCATCACTGTGTTCAATGTGTTCAGTATTTATAAACACCATGCCATCAATGTGTTCATGGTGTTCAGTATTTATGAATACCACGTCATTGCTGTGTTTATGGTGCTCAGTATTTATGGACATGTCATCACTCTGTTAATGGTGTTTAGTATTTATGGACACCTGCCATCAATGTGTTCATGGTGTTCAGTATTTATGGGTACCATGCCATCGCTGTGTTCATGGTGTTTAGTATGTATGGACACCATGTCATCACTCCGTTTATGTTCAGTATTTATGGCCATCACTGTGTTCATGGTGTTCAGTATTTATGGATACCATGCCATCACTGTGTTCATGGTGTTCAGTATGTATGGACACCATGTCATCACTCCGTTTATGTTGTTCAGTATTTATGGACACCATGCCATCACTGTATTCATGGTGTTCAGTATTTATGGATACCATTCCATCACTGTGTTCATGGTGTTCAGTATTTATGGATACCATGC